CAACTTCCCTCCTCTTCACGCGCTCAGACGGTGCAACTTCCTTCTTCTTTGAGCGCTCAGATGGCGCAGTTTCCTTCTTCTTCTTCCTCTCGCCCCTCGAGGCCCGCGGAGCTTTCGCCACCACGTCGTCAACAGACATCATGCTGACCAAGCTTGAAAAGTCAACACCTGCACCAATAAATTGTAAGAGAGCGGTTAATATAATCGAATGCATAAGGAAAGAGACGTAACTAACCATCAGCAAAAAGCTCCGCCAAACAAGCTTCGCGGACCCCTCCCAGGTACAAGTTGAACTTCTGGTTCATGCACGCTTCATACTCAGCGTCGAGCCTGTCATATTTGCCCAGGTCGCGCTCGTAGCCTTTCGTGCTACCCTTCTTCCACACAGTGGGTTCTTCCATGAACTCACTCGCCCACTCCCCCGGCGTGGGCTTAACATAGAAGAAGCGCTCGAACTAAGTCTTCTTCAGCTTTGGAGACCCGTACACAAAACCGTCGGGCCTATTGTCGCGCCGCCTGATGGAGAGGCAGTCACTCCTCTTTGTTGGCTCCTTGATTTTGTACATCTGCATGGGCTTAACATAGAAGAAGCGCTCGAACCAAGTCTTCTTCAGCTTTGGAGACCCGTACACAAAACCGTCGGGCCTATTGTCGCGCCGCCTGATGGAAGGCAGTCACTCCTCTTTGTTGGCTCCTTGATTTTGTACATCTTGCGGAACAAACCATAGGTCGGCGCGATATTGAGCCTCTTGCACGCGAGGCGGAGGCAACTCGCGTGCATAATGACGGAGGGGGAAAGACGACCCACAGAGCAGTTGAGCCGCCTATAGATCACGCATAGCAGCGGGTCAATGGGGAATTTGAACCCCATCACCCAGTATTCGGTGTACACCCCGATACAACCGGCGGGGCAATTACCAACGGTGCTCCGCGTTGAGGGAATCGCATACTCCCAATGGGGGGGCAACCCCAATCCGTGCACGATCTCCGTCACTTCCCACCTCCCGTAGATGGACGCGTGATCGGGCCCCCTGAGAAGACCATCTTGAGGCCCTGGCTGATCGCCCCACATCTCCGCCCAATCGATTATATTGTACGCCGCGCCCACACCGAGGAACCATAGGCGGCTTATCGCCTCGGAAACGCGCGCGACGCAACGCGGCTCTGGCTGCGTGTCAGACTCTTCGCGCGCATCACGATTCGCGCTCACAGACGCACCCGCACGGTCGCGCCTAATAATCAACACGCCACGGGCACCGGCGCAGGACAACACGTTACCGGACACCGTAGCCTCCGCATCTAATGAGCCACGGCTGCCCGGTTCCGAATCGACGTCGTAGGACGGCGTCGCCGAAACCCCACCACCACCATCACCGCCCTCGCCCCCGTGCCCAGAATCATCAAGATCCAATGAAGGATCAGTAGAAGCATGTGAGGGGGATGAGAGATTACCTTCTTCGTCTTGTACGACATCGATCTCGTTGACGTTAGCCATAGCAAACTCCGGAGTTTGGCAACAACAGATTGAGAAGAAAGGTTGTAGAAGAAGGAAAGGACTCTCGAACACACCCGACGTAGAGAGAACAGAGAATAAAATCGAAAGAGGCAAAATGGCAGAATAAAACCCAGTTCCCCTTATGGTTAGCTATTTATAACCGAGGGAGGGAAGCTGAACAGTTAAAGTTGCTTCGGGATACGCAACCGTCAGAGTTTTTTCGAAATTCAAAACGGCTGCCAAAACAAGCCAACCACACAAGGACACGTGGACACCTAACATAGGCATAGGCAGTAGGTACTAGTCGATGACGTTGCAAGCTCCGCGCATCGCCTGGGGGGCATGGTACACCCGCGGAGAAAAAAACAAAGTAGAAAGCGTCACGCGCAGCTAAGCCGCTTGCGCGAAAACTGAAGGGCGCTAGCCCTAAACAACACCAGTCACTAGGGGGGCATGACACATCCTCAGAAGTCCAACCTTATCAGAAAGCGTCACGCGCAGACAACAAAAAAAAAAGAGAAAGAGAAAAACACCAATTCTGAACTCAGGAAGATCGCGCAGGAATCAGAATCAAACGCGCCCGAAGATCGCGCGGACCGAGTCAATCGCGCGGAAGTAAAACAGGCGGCGTTCGGGGAACACCCCCTGATGGGGGCCAATTGTTGGGCATGTGACTCGGATCCCGCCGCGCTAAAGAAATACCGACATCAAGAGACGGGCGCACCAACAGCGGCGCGAGCAAGAGCATAGGCGAGCGCGAATACCTAGGGACGGGCGCTTCAGTGCCAGCGCGCCCAAGGGGAGCCCGAGCCCAGCAACGACTAAAGCGACGTGAATGAGAAGCGGCCTCGTATCCCACCTATCGGGTAGTCACATCATGGTCTTAGTGGTCATATCATGGTCCTAGGTATAATGAAAGGCTAAGTGTACTTGTCCTAGGTAGCGATATGGCCTAGTCCTCTGACATGTCAGTAGTCATGTCAATATGACAGGTCACCATGTAACTCACCCACCACCATGTAGCCTATAAATAAGGCATTAACTCCGGTGGGTGAGGGGATCGGATTTTTCTGACTCTATCTCTAAAATCATCAACTTCTCTCTCGAAGATTATTTCTCTCTCCACTCTCTTCGTAATCCCCTTCATTTCTCCATAAACGATTATTCCTTCATTGCTTACTTTCCTTGACCCATTTTCCCGAGTCTCCCTTCTACACCCAGTTAGGCTCAAACAGTAACTATCATGCTCATCCGGCAAAAACTTTAAATTAGTGTAGTACTATCTAATGGTTTGATTTCCCTGCTTGGCTAAGTCTATCTTCTCCTCCAATTTAGCAATTCTCACAAAATCGCCTTGTTTAAACTTGGATCTAAGGAAATGCCAAGCCTTAGATGATAGCTTAACATTTCTCTGAATAGGAACATTGTCCTACGAAATTGAATTTCGAATCCAACACAAAGTCGTTCCATTAACTCTATCACAACTTCCATAAGAAGAATCAAAAGCGTCGGGTACCTGAATCTTACCCAGGACAAAATCTAGTTTGTTCTTAGTACGTACTGCTACCTCCATGGACAAACTCCAGAGGAGGTAGTTGTCGTTGAGCTTGAAGCCAATGACGGGGAAGAAAGAGTTTCCACTCTAGGTTGGATAAGGATTGCTGTAAGGGTCTTCATAACGAGGAATGGTCTCATTTACTCGTTTAGCTCCTTCCGTAATGGTGACATCACCCTTTCCAAACATTGTTGTAGTCAAGTAGGCTGATGCAATGAGAAAACTTTAACCTAGTTGTAGTGATTCTTCCCGCCGACGTTTAGGGGATAAAATATTTTCAGGAACAAGTAAATCATAATATTTTTTTTCTATATTTCCATGTCTGAAACGTATCTTAATGTCGGAAAGCTGGATAGGGTGGCCTTTACGTAAGGATTATATCGCCCCCAATTTTTATGAAATACAAGATGCTCATTGAAATTCAATAATAAGAAACTAATTTTTGTTTTAAGAAGATGCTCAGTGGGAATCCAGTAGAGTGCCTTTTCCTTGGTGGGTTTTCATATATTTTCAGTTAACACTTTACATTAACATTAATGAAGAACTAACAATTAAATGAACCAATCTAATGATGTCAAGTGGCAAACTAAAATAAATCCATCTAACTAATCAAACTATAGCTATCTAACGTTGTTATGCTTTGCGTGGTGGAACTACTTAAGTCAAACAACGTCGGTCTGGATGTTCCTTGACTGGGTATCAACCAGAGTGAAAGAAAGCCCTGACAGCTTTGGTTCTTCATCCTTCTGCAAAGTTCTCTCAATTCGTCCATGGTTTTTTTCAATCTATGCAGCAGCTGCATGCATTCATCCATCTCCATTCGCATCTTGATGGATAACATCCCTCATAAGTTAGTTGTGGTTACCATACAACAAGTTTCAACAACCTCCAGTTAAGATAAAAATGTCCACAAACTCAAGAAATGGTGGAGGGAAAAACACATTTTCCTTATGGATTTTCCCAAAATTGTCCTCCAAGATATTGAGGAGTCAATTATTACTATTGGAAAAATAGAATGGATTTGTTCATTGGTCCAACATATGATGATATGTGCAACATTGTGATGAACTTTCAGCTGAACTCAAAGAATACCAACTTGATGTATTATACTCTTGGTCCTGAGTTGTATCATCGGGTCCCAAGATACAAAACGACAAAGGAAATCTAGGACAAACTTCAAACTGCACATAAAGGTACTGCTCAAGTTAAAATCTCTAGCATTAATATGCTTAATCAAGAGTTTGAAATGTTTAACATGAAACCAGAAGAATCAATAATGGAGTTGAATGAACGAGTCACTACCATAACCAAAACTCTAAAGAACCTGGGAGTTTTGTATGAAAGTGTTGATCTGGTGTAAAATGTATTATAACTTCCAAAGAAGTGGGCACCAAAAGTGACAAAACTACACGAATCTAAAGATCTAACAAGACTAAATCGGGATGAGTTGATTGGCTCATTACTCACTCTTGAAGAAAATCAAAGAGGGAAGATGGTGAAGACAAGAAAGAGAGAAGAGGAGTAGCTTTCAAAGCTGCTCCTCAGATGGAGAGGGCAAAAGATTTAGAAGACATGGACGATGAAAAATTATCTATGCTAAGCAAACAAATCAACAGATTGCTTAGAATAAGAAAAGAAAAACAAAGAGGAAATTGCGTCAACAAAAACAAAGAAGTTGAAAAGGAAGTTGAAGAAACAAAATATACTCAACCGATATCATTCCAAAAAAGCAGGAACGAACGACCACAACCAAACAAGATACAAACCTCTGCAGGATGCTTTAGATGTGAAAACCTCAGCACATCAAAAGCTGAATATCCTCTGGTACAAAGAGAACGAGCCATACCTGCAACATTGAGTTGTGGCAAAGAAGAAGACGAAGAAGAAGATGGGAGGAGACAAAAGAAGAGAAGAATGTTACATGGCTATTGACGTTGAACTGAGGTAAAACTTTCTAACCACACTTTATTTACTGATACTAACCAAAATAAAGGTGAGAAATTTTTACCAAGGATAAATTGTCATATTTTTTATGGTGACTAATAAACATAAAAAGACCACAAAGAGATGAATTAATTCTCTTGTCATATTTTTTTTCGGTCCATTAATTTTTCCATAAAGAAGATATGAAAATTCTCTCGATTACAGGTGATTTATGGAAAAATTCCTGTGAATATGATCCCAACTAGAAATTAGTTTCCTTCTTTTACACTCTAATTAATAATTAAGCATGTGAATTAAAAGTATGTGCCATTAGGTTCACATATAGCACAAGCACACACATATAGGTTCACATGATTGGCTACTCAACACACAAATTTGCTACTACATCACATCTACATATCTAGTCCTCAAGCACTTGCCCTACGTACATACATAACAATCAAACATCAGAAGAAGAAGAAGCAATCATCTCATCATCATGCACCATCATCCGATCCAGCACCCCCGCGCTCCCATTATTACACGACGACGAAACGAAGGCCCCGTGTCCCGAACCAAATGCCCTGACGTGATCCTTGAGCGACCTCTTGTGCTTGAAGTCGGAGCCGCAGACGCAGAGCCACCGCTTCCCGCAGTTCTTCTCGTGGGTCCGCCAGTCCCCTTTCACCGCCAGCAGCTTCCCGCACTTCCTGCACACGAACGGCTTCACCCCGTGCTTCCGCTTGTAGTGCGTCTGCAGCGTCCTGAAGTCCTTGAGCGGCTTCGCCCTCGGGTGCTCGATGTTGTTCTTGCACCCCGGGGAGCAGCAGTAGCACGGGATCCCCAGCATCAGCCGCGGCGGCTGCGTCCCCTTCAGCGACTCCGGACCTTTCCTGTACTGCGACCCGTGGCCCCACATGTGCATCTGCATTTTTTGTCACAAAAAAAAAAAACCACACATGTCTTTTGTTCTGTTTTCCACGAATAAACATGTAAGAGTGGATCGACATACACGTGACCGCGACCTGGAGATTGTTGTAACGGTTGAACGTTTTGAAGCAGACTTGGCAGGAGAAGTGGGTGAAGCCGACGAGGATCTGCTCGTGGGTCGGTATCCAGTACTGCGCGGACACGTCAGCATTTGGACCACCGTTCTTCGTGGGACGACGGCCCGCCAGCTTGTCGTGATCATTCGGGTTATGGTCGCCGGGGAGGCCGATCTGCAGTGCCACCGTGACGTCATCATCCTTGGACGACGTGGCGCCTACCGAAGAGTAGCGGCACTCCATGGATGGCGACAATGGCGGCGCCACAGCATTGGCGGGGAAAAGATCGAGGGGTTTAATGGGGTTGGTGTATTTGGTGGTGGAAGAGGAAGATGAGGAGGAGGAGGAGGAAGAGGGTGAGGAAGTAGAGCCCAAGGAGCATGAGTACATGCAGGAGGAGATGACATATTCTGAAGGCTCCATTGTTGATCTCGAGGTGAGTAGGCTGGCTAGGTAGCTACTGTTAAGTGTAGTTTAATTTGAAGGGTAGTTTTGTATGGGAGAGGAGCGGTTTTGTTTTATAGTGGGAGGAAGGGAAACTATAGGGTCGTTTGGACGAGGAATTGTAACGGATCAATTTGAAACAATTGTCTCGTTTTGAGACAATTGTACCAAATTGTCTCGTTTGCCAGCAAAAAATTTGGATGAATCAATCTGCCTGAGGTATTTTGAATTGACCCGTTTTGAGTCAATTTCAATTACTTGGGGTGGTGGAGGTAATTCGAATTGACTCGTTTTAATTGTCTCGTTTATAAAATGAGACAATTAATCAAATTGACTCATTTCTAGATTGATCCATCCAAACGAACCATCTGCATGGCTGTGGGATGGAGAATGAAGTCACTGAATTAAAAGTGTGTGGTTGAGTGACAATAACCCTTGGTTGTGGAGGAAGGGCTCATAAAGCGGTTCTGTGGGTTTAGGTTGGCCGCATTAGGAAAGGAAAAGCGAAGGGACTTAAATATTTCAGTGAGAGGGCTGAATGTGGAATGAGTTGCAGTGCAGAAGGATTTTTCATAACAGCAAACAGCAAGAAAGAAGGCAAAAAAGATCTAAAGGCCTATGGGTTCACGTACGTACGTGTAGAGTTAATGAGAGAGAGAGATAGAGAGAGTCAACACATGTGTGTACACGGTGCATTTACCTTTGGTAGATTGAAGTTAGGGGGAGGGAGGTGTTTGGTAGTTAACATTTTCGGATCCTTCAAATGAAAGTCATAATTCATGAGTTTGAATTTTGCATAGACTCATCATAATATTATGTGTTTTTAGAGATCGACAACAGTTAATATTTCATGAATTTGAATTTTGCACAGACTCATCATAATATATATTATGTGATTTAGAGACAACAGTTAATATATCGGGGTTATATAAACTTGAACATGTGACCTCAAAAAGCAAAGTCGTTGTGATGTCATGTCATGTCATGTCATAAACAACTGATTCTAATAACTTGAATTGTCGAATGTCGAGTGAGGTTCATATATGGTACTTAACTACTCTTAGGGAATCTCATCGTCCAATGCTTATTGGAGATACAGCTACAGGTTGCACGAAGGAAGCTGATCCTTCTCCTAATGCACTGCGGATTCCTAATGCGGTGACGTTTCCCTCAGAAGCAATGGAGGAGCTAAGTTGAGCGCTGAAATTTTATTGTGTTGGAGATTTCCGTTTTTACTGTACATATTACAACTGTCTTTCTTTTATTGGTAGATAGTTTTTTGTTCGTTTGTTACTGTTGTCTTATGGTAACTTTGTACAACAGAGTCTCCTTCTTGGAGAAGTTTATGGAGAAGTTTATGGATTGAATAAAAGGGCCTTGAGCCACCAAAAGATCCCTTGCGGGTTCTTTCACAATACCAATGTTGTTTTCTCACATGGTATCAGAGTCTGATTCTCAGAACTAGGGTTTTGTCTTCCGTCATACCCGCATTCTTTCCTCTACCTACTTTTCTTTGTCGTCTTTCCTTCTTTAACCATGGCGACTAAAGCATCTACAATTTCCAACTCCAGTTCCACTGTGGCTACCACTCCTCTCACTACAGTTACAAACCCCTTTTACATCAACCCTAATGAAGCCTTGAGCTTCCCAATCAAGCTCACAGGGACTGCAAATTACAACTTATGGAGCAGAACTGTTCGGGTTGCTCTAAAGAGCAAGAACAAGTTGGGTTTCATTATTGGGTCCATACCTGTTCCAGATCCAACGGATGCAAGTTATCAAGCCTGGGAACAAAGCAATACTATTGTCTACTTCCTGATTCTAGGGTCCCTTGACCCAAGCCTGGTGAACAGTGTCTCTTCTCAAGACAACTCTAAGATCCTCTAGGATGACCTAAGACAGCGTTATGGTCAAGCTGATAACATCAGAATTAGTGACCTCCAGACAACAGTTTATACCCTAAAACAAGGTAACAAGTTTGTGAACCAATTTTACTCTGAGTTGAAGGGTTTCTGGGATGAGTTAGTCCAGTTTCTACTAATCCCTAGTTGTGAATGTGGAGGAGAACATAGGGATAGGAATATACCTTGTGTTACTAAGACCACAGTGAGGAAATACAGACAGAATGATTTTATGACTCGATTCATAACTGGTCTGAGTGAGACATATGGGGGTGTTAAGACCAATCTGTTGATGATGGTCCCCTTACAACCATGGAGACAACACTTCATTATGCTATCCGGCATGAAAGACAAGTCTCTAGATCAGGTGAGGAGTCTCAAGTCGATTTTGTGGCTCTCTTGGCTAACAACCAGACTAGAGGTAAAGAGAATGTTAAGGGAGCACAAGGCACCTTGTTCTGCAGATACTATAAGAAGGATAACCATGTTATCTCTGATTGCTACAAAATGAAAAAGAAGAACAAGGAGACAGGTTCCTCGTATGTATTTGCAGGACAGTTACAAGAGTTGAGGTTCCAGGATGGGGTATTCTTTCAAAACCAGAAACCAGGGCCTTGTCTGAGTCAGTTGATGGCTTCACTAGTATCATGCTTTCAAATTATGACATTGGCAGCCTTCAGAAGATCATCACTCAGTTTGGATCACCCATCTCTCCCACCTCACCCGGGTCTCCTGGAAACCCATGATGGACCACATCAAGCACAACAACCAATGGTTAACTCTGTAAGCAGGCATCTGTCTGTGAATCCAAATTTTGCAGGTAAATACACACTTTCTTCATGTTACCAGAAACATCCATTGGAATTAATTAATGTTTGGTTCCTAGATACTGGTGCAACAGATCATGTTTATTGCTCATTGTCTAGTTTCATTAGGCACAAACCTGTTCAGAATGTGTTTATTACCTTACCTAATGGTTCAAAGGCACCTGCTACACATTCTGGCAATGTTAGATTAACACCAAATCTTGTTATTCATGGTGTTTTGTTTGTCCCAACCTTCTCTTTTAACCTTATCTCAGTCAGTAAACTCACTCAGTCTTTACCTATCACTCACTTTTAAATCAACCATTTGTCATATCCATGACCTTCTAACCAAGAAGATGATTGGTTTTGCCCAAGAGACTAGAGGCCTTTATAAACTCACACCTCATACCACAGAAGACCATTTCATTCATATTAATTCCCTCAAGACTCACAACTTTACACCACAGTCTTTTAATTTATTGCATTGACGACTTGGGCATCCCTCTGAGCATAGGACTAAAGAATTGAAGAAAACTGTACCTAGTATAGATGTTGAATCTGTTAGCCATTGTGGAGTTTGTCCCCTTTCAAACAAAAACGCCTTCCTTTTCCTTCAAGCCTGTTTGTGGCAAAGAGTGTTTTTGAACTCATTCATGTTGATATATGGGCCCCCCTTGCTGTTTCCAGTTACAATGGCTTTCAATACTTTCTTACCATTATAAATGAAAAGTCTAGGTGTGTTTGGACATATCTGATAAAATTCAAGAGTGAAGCCAGAAAGTTGTTACAATATTTTTGTGTTATGATCCAAACACAGTTTGATAAGAAAGTTAAAGTAGTTAGATCAGATCAGGGTGCAGAATTTCACATACCTGAATTTTATTCCCAACATGGGATCATTCACCAAATGTCATGGGTTGAAACACCCCAGCAAAATGCCCGAGTGGAAAGAAAGTATCAACATATTCTGAATGTAGCAAGCGCCTTAAAGTTTCAATATAGACTTCCTCTCAAATCTGGTTAGATTTTATTCAACATGTTGTCTTTCTCATTAATAGGCTGCCTACTGTTGTCATTGCCAATAAGATACATTATGAGATTTTATATGGGCATCCACTAGATTTATCTGACCTAAGTGTTTTTGGGTGTTTGTGCTATGCTAGTACGTTGGGGCATAACATAACCAAGTTCTTATCTAGAGCCAAACAATGTGTGTTTTTGGGTTATCAAATGGGTGTTAAGGGATATAAACTGTTTGATTTACAAGACCAGAAGGTATTCCTCTCTAGGGATGTTATTTTACATGAGTTTATCATTCCTTGCCTATCTAAGTCATCTGATCCACCTTCATCAGATATCCCTACCATTCCCATTTTCCCCCCTCCTACTACACCTTTTCCCTTTCCTGAACCAGATGCCACACCTGAACCTGAACCAAATGTCCAACCTCAATCACCAATATCACCCTTTCCTTCTTCACCTTCCTCACCACCCATAACTACTGCTCAAATAGAACTAGTTGCTTATTCTCCTTACTCTTTTTCTCCTATTCCAGTTCCACCTTCTCCCCCTTCATCCTCTCAACCAACTACTCTCAGAAAGGCACCTCGTATTCCTGTCAAGTCTGTCAAATATAATGATTATGTAATGCACCTAGGAACCACTAACTCAAAATTTTTATATCCAATGGTTGCTTGCTTGTCATATGAACAACTGTCAAACAGTTACAGAAAGTATGTTTTGGCAGTGGAGTCCACTGTTATCCCTGGTTCCTTTGAAGAGGCCGTTAAAGAAGAATATTGGAGAATAGCTATGGATTTAGAATTGGAAGCACTGGAAGCTAACCACACCTGGGATTTAGTTCTCAGACCTTCTCATCAGAAGGTTATTCGTAATAAATGGGTGTACAACATCAAGTTCCAGGAAGATGGTACCATTGAGAGGTACAAAGCCAAATTAGTGATTCCTAGGTGCATTACTGAAGGACCACTTGACGCTGTGATGATTTCCTTCCCCATCCTTGCCTTCTTTCTTCTTTTGAGGCTTGAAAGCTTCTCCATATAATATTTTCATAGACAAACCCTATTATGGTCGTCTAAAGACCAAGACATATGATACTCTTCGGATAAAAACTCCTTTAAAGTGTTTCTCCAAAATGGTGGTTTAGTCGGTCCGGCCATAATTTTGGATCTTTGGCCGCCATTTGGTCCACTTGATGGTTCAGCTCGCTTTGAGCATGGTTCCATTTCTAGGTTGTCGAAATGTGAGAAATGTATAGCTGGAAAAAATGGTACACTATGGTGATAAATGTTGTCTTGGGCCTCAATTTATGAAGTCCAGCTCACTGGTCCTGAAGTCTTCAGCTCGTACAAGATGGTAGTCTACGGTGCTAAGGCCTGAAAATGTACAAAGCATTATAAAAATGTATCAAAAGTATAAAAACATCCCTAGAGGCTACTAATACATCTTTGAGTAGTTGCCAAGCAAAACCAAGTCATAATGGCTAAATACATGCATATGTAAATCATGACATGAGGTGATAAAGTCGTATATGTCACATGTCATTAGAGGTCAATTAAGGAATCATAAGTGGTAATCAGTACTCGACAAGCGAAGGGTTTCGCTTCGCGCGCTGCTACTGCTTCTCCGCTAATCGTCGTTTGCTTCCTACCTAGAAAATCCGTTCCAAGCCCCTGCTGCCTTCTCTTTTTGCTTTTCTTCGCCCCCAAAGAGAATTCCCTCTTCCAATCAGAGAGATTGTCCAAATTAAAAGTCTCTCCCCAATATTTGTTTCCGCCTCCCAATTAAAATGCCCCCAACTTAATTATTTGTCCCAAATGAATTCCACCTCCTCATTCCTTCCGTGTCCCAGCAGCATTTCATTGCCCAGAATAATGGGCCGCCCTCTCCCTCCATAAAGCCCAAATCTCCTCGTTTCTTGCAATTCCAGCTAGCTGGCCTCTGAGCCCAGTTTAATTTCCCAAGTCCAAATTAATTACCAACCAGCCATTAAACTCCCTCCGGCTGCTCTATCCAGGCCCACGTGCTATTTAGCCAGTGATTCGAGAATTGTTGGCCGGTGCAACTAATTTTTCGTGTTTTCTTCACCTGTAACACATCAACCATTCTCGGGTTAGCGAGCCCTAAAATAACACCAATTAGCTAAAACATACCATGGATAATCACATAAAGTCCAAAAATTCAATATGTTAAAGCCGATTATCACAACCCCACACTCAATTGTTGCTTATCCCTAAGCAACGACTCAAACAACACAAACACATAATCATCCCAAAACAATGACACACCACAGACTCACTAATCAAACACTCAAAGCAAAACACAAAATTTCCTTGTACTCTTGTTGTAATCAGTAGTTTCTTTCTCAAAGGACAAGTTGTGCTTTAATGATCATACATTTCACCCCACACGCAAGGTCTTTGCACCCATTACCATTGACTGACTCAAATCCACCAAAAACTCAATTAGCAACACTCAATTCAGGTCGTCAGTAGCGGGTGATTAACAACTTATGGTGCAACAGTTATTAGGAGAATCTAACCACATCAGTGAGGTGCATATCTCGTGAGGACAATCTGGCTTACTCACACCAATCATAATCAATTAATTAACCATGAGTCTCAAAAACTAATGGGGGAAGCCTTTCACAAACATGATTTTAACTTTAAGCACTTCACTACCTTTTATGACAAGGAGAGGCTTTCTCTCTTTCTGCTTTTGCTTGCCGAGAGGTCGTATTTAGTACAAGTGGGATTTGTTTCTTACTACCGGTGACCGAGCAAGAGCAATTTCTGCTTCTTAGCACTCGCATAAGGGCTTCTTTCAACTCCTTTTCCTCGGTCCGTATGGAGGGTCATTGCATCCTCAAATGGCACTTCACTCAACTGGGGATCGTACTTGATAAGCAACATCGTACGGTCGCGAACCGATTCTCAATTGAATCTTTCCTCATCGCCATGTGCAATGAGTGATTGCCTCACACGATTTTGGCATTTTTACCCACACTTTAATTCTTATGGCAACTTTCTTATATTTTACTTGTCGGGTAGTGTTTTCTCATTTTATAAAGATACAGTTCACCCCATCATAAAACATTCAAAACAGAGAGACTCGTTGCAAAATTAAAAGCTCACAAGTGATGCAAGTAAGCACGGTATCC